ATGGAAGAAAAATTGTAATGCTTGCTTTCGTGACAGTAGTCTAGTACCATTAATGGAGGCATTTGTGAAACCGAGAAGGTAAATTTTAGTTGCAGATCTAATTGCAGGTTTTGATTGTGACGTTTTCTGATATTTATTAATCTAGAAAAATACAAATAAAGTTATTCAATAAGCATGATGTGAATTGCAAAAGTTATAAAATTTTATTCATTTAGTATATATTCAGTGATATCTATTATTCAGTATCTTTTTTGAGTTTAGAAATATGAATTTATATAAAATAAAATTCAAAGTAGTTTACATAATTTATATTACAAAATAACAACTTAAATGTATACTGACTTTTCACAACTGAGATATTCCACTGCAAAATCGTTAAAAATAAAAAATTTTAGTTAGAATAATTAATTTGGTAGTCTGATAGTGATAAACATACAAAATGGCGGTTTGGTGGCAAATTACAAGGAATTCTTGGATAGAAAAAATAAGTAAGTGGGCTGCAGCTAAGTAATTAATAATTAAGCACTATAAAAATTTAACTATTTGAATGTAACAAATTTCTAAAAATGCTATGAAGTAAAATTTCTGTTTTTTTTATCTGTATTTGGAAATTTATAAATATTTTTCATATACAGAACATTAATTAGTTGATAAATTTAACAACTGGTCAGATTCTCAAAAAAAACATAAAGAGTACACCTCACTAAAAAGACTTCTGGTTGTGTTCAAAATGGATTTACAGATAAAAAAAATGTATTTAAAGATTTCAATAATATTCAACAACCCATTAATTTACACGGCTATCTTTTCTATCGCGTACATGTGATTTTATCAGTTGGCATGTGGCACCCTTTAATGAAGGAATATTTTTATGAAATTTTGCACATGAGTTCATGAGATCAATAGGAACAGGACTAGAGGTTGTCCCAGACAAAATCTGAACATTTAATTTTTGACTACCACCCTAACGTATATTAAAATGTAACTTAAATACTTTTAATAAAAAGAAAGTTTTTTTTTGTAATTAATACGAGAAATTTAAATAACAAAAAAACTAAATTCACAGCTTGCTTGAATTTAAAATATAAAAGTAAATGTTTGAATGAACCATGTAAAAGCAAATGTTTGAATGAAAGTTTATAACATTTTATAACTATGAATGAAAAAATATTTATTAGTGTTAGTTGCTGCAACGATAGAATGCAATCGCTGGCACCAACATTCTTTTGTAATTAAACATTTGTTATTGTTTTTGGTGAGACTTTGTTTTGCTATGTCTTTTATATATAACACTGCCTTTTATATATAAGACTAATTATAAAATTGAACTTGCAATAAATGTGAATTATGAAATTTACTAGCTTGTGTTTAATATTTTTGCAAATTTTTCTATTTTTCTATTATTAAAATATTCCTATTAATGACACAATCTATTACATTATAGTGTAATGATTTGTCCACAAAAGACGTCTACTTAAGTAATAATAAGTAGAAGATTATTGGCTCTCTTCTGAGGAGGTCATAAATCATAATGTCATTATGAATTATAAAATCATAAATTGCAATTATAAAATCATAAATCGCTATATTACTTTAAAAATCTTTGCACACAAGAGCCATTAATCTCCTACTTCTAGCTATTAGGTAAATTCAGCGTAACATCGCTTTTTGTAGACGACTCATAAATAGTAAAAATTGAAGATTCCCAAATCATATTTTCTTTTTATTATAAACTCCAGGTAGATCCTGATGTTACAAAAAATCAATCGTTAACTAAGAAACCAAAACTTGATTTATGTTTGAAGTCGACTGAAAAGTACGAGAGACTATTTACCAATTTTTATTTTTCGTCAGCGTTAATGGTTGGTTTTGTAAAACGTGCACATCATTTGACGCTCATGGTGGTTCAGGGGCTTTTATTGAAAAGCCATGAATGCTTACAGGTCATCCTGTTGAACGTTCATCTGCCCATTTATCATCGGTTCGACATAAAAATGCAATAAAAAACAAACAAACATTCCAAGAGTTGAGTAAAAGAGACATAGATGTTTGAAAAATGATTCGTGAAAATAATCTTGCACAAGAAAATGTTAAAGATTTAAAAACAAGATTTGTTCTGGTTTTTTTTTCGCGTAACTCAATTACTTATCATGAAGAATTGGGCTCATACTCATAACTCTAAAGAATTAATTGAGCTTATTGCGCAATGTGGGGGAAAAGATGTACAATCTCATCTACTACTCGCACCTGGAAATGCTACCTATATGTCACCCATGTATATATCCAAATAAGTCACTTCGAGGGAAAAAATATGCATTTTATTCAGATGAGACCTCAGATATTACATCGGTTGAACAACTAGCTATTTATGCATCTTTTGAACATTGTGGTTCAGTAGAAGAATATTTTGTTGGACTTCTACCGTTAAGTAAACTAGTTGGGACAAGCTTATCTGCCAAAAACTTATTTAAAGTTATTGAAGATTTTTTTATATCAATAGATGTTCCATTACAATGCATAACCCTCGTTATGCATGCATGGATACTACCAATGTGAACTCAGGAGAGAAAAGGGGTTTAAAGTCATACTTAGAACATTCAGTCCAGCAACTAATTTAGGTTGGCATTAGTAGTAGCCACAGGTTAGCATTATGCTTTAAACATCTTCTATCTGACTTTGAATGTGTAAAGGAAGCCAATGTGTCTCTTCTTAATCTTTGGAAATTTTTTTAATATCGAACAACAGCAATGAATTTGCTGCAAGAAAGTGCCAATATTTATGGCGATATTGACAACATTGTGCCTATATGCCAATACTTATGTTGTTAGATGTTTTTTCTGCCATTGGTCCTCTTGTACTTTCTCTGCAGTCATCACAAGAAAGTATTTGTTTGAGTGATATTCCTATATACGTTGAACAAACAGAGTTGAATTTGAATGCAAATTTAAACGGATTAGTAAGAAAATTCTTTACATTAGAAAATTACATAAACATGAAATCTACTGCCAGTGACATTTGCGCATCTCTACCTACATCAAGTCGATTTATCGGTTTTTGATCCTCGCAATTTTCTTACAAAAATGGCTGATCTAATTGATTATGGCAAAGCAGAGTTGTCAACATTATTAAATCACTATGGGAACCTTCGTGAAATACTTAATGCATCCACTGAACAACAGCGTCAAGAGTTAACGAAAAGAAGAGAGTCGTTCTGTGCTCAATCCTTATTTAGGTTTAACAAAAGTCGTACTGTGCTCAATCCTTACTTTGGTTTAAAAAGAACTAGTTTAAATCAGGATTTATAAAGTAACTCCATGTTTTTATTGAATTTTATGTTGATTTTTCCGATAAGTGTTGCTTGTGTAGAAAGGCTGTTTTCCAAATTAAAACTAGTAAAAAATCGACTACGCAACCAGTTGTCTCAGAGTAAACTTGAAAGTCTTTTGATGATATCAACCGAAAGTCCTAAACAAGGATTCGAAGAAAAGGTTCTTGAAAGTTTCATCGAGGAGCTGAAAAAAAAAAATCCTAACATCAGAGTTAAACTATAATTAATATAACTTAAATATTTTACCTCTGAGTTGTAATTAAAATAAAAAACAAAACAGTGTGTCTAATTAATAAGGCAAACTGTTTTATTTTATGCGAGAATATATATTAGTTTTTATCTTTTTGAAAGATGTTTTATACTTGACTTCTTCACCTAGGAAAATTAAAAAAATAATAATTTAAAGTTGTTTATTTTCACTAACATTCATATTTAGCATTAAAGATTATTTTAAGAGTATTTATGAAAGTATTTTGCTTTTGTTTATGAATAAATAACAATCAAAATACGGTTGTGTTTAAGAAATGCTTTTTTGATTTAAAATATTAGTTGCTTTCTCGATTTTCTTGTGTATCAAAAAGTACATTTTTTATTTTGTTTTTGGCGCTGTCCAATATAACTATACAGCGCTGAAGTGGAGTGGAAGAGGAAAGAAGATAAAAAAGGGCCCACGCATTCCCGGAACACATTTCAATTACAGGAATGGTTGAAGGGGTGGATGGGGCAGGGGTTGGGGTAGGTGTGTGTGTGGGGGGGGGATAGGTTGGGGGAAGTGGAGGAGGTATTTATTGGAAAATATTTTATCAAAATCACAATTTTGTCAAAACGCTGTATCAAATTTGTTCCTGGCTAACACCCTGTATATATATATATATATATATATATATATATATATATATATATATATATATATATATATATATATATATATATATATATATATATATATATATATATATTTATATGTATGTATATATCAGGGCTCAATTAAACGGTCAGACATCAACGCCTTCTGAACTGTTTTTAATTTGTTTATGGGGGCAACCAAGTATTGTTAATTTTTAATCAAATAGTTTGTTGCCCTCCTCTAGCATGTCTCAAGAATGGTCCGAGGGGAGGCAATATCTGAGCGTTTAATTGAGCCCTGATATATATATATATATATATATATATATATATATATATATATATATATATATATATATATATACATATATATATATATATATATGTATGTATTTATGTATATATATATATACATATATACATAAATATATATATATATATATAAATATTCAATTTATAATATATATATACATATATATATATATATATATATAATATATATATATATATATATATATATATATATATATATATATATATATATATATATATATATATATATATATATATATATATATCAGCCCTCAGAATTAGGAAAGATGAGTTCAGCAATATTTTGCCAACCTTAATCTGTAAGAGGATGGCATCAGGTCAGCAAAAATAAATTTGATTCAAAGGTTTAACCATAAAACCTAGAAACTAGGTCAACAATTTTTTGCCAACATAAAACACTTCTAGGTTGGCAGTTAGCTCAGCATTGCCAAATGCAGAACCTAATCCAGAGGGTTGATATTTATATATATATATATATTTTTTTTTTTTTTAGAATCAAGTCAGCTCAAATGTGAAAGAACTATCTCCTGATAAAAAATATTTTCTTTTTTGCAATAAATCAAAATCAGTAAGTTTTTAAACAGCAACAGTATTTTAAAAATAAAGTTTTTTTATATTTTATTTTTATTAATTTTTGAACAAAATACTTTCAAATAAGCTGCAAGCAACCACTGCTCAAGTTGGGAGTTACTTGGAAGTAAAGAAGCAAAGAAAGTTTTTGACAGAAGTTTATGAAAATAATTGTAACTTTATGTATATAACCCTATGTAATAATTGTACTTTATGTAAATAACTGGAGCAAATCAAACTATATTTTCTATCCAATTTTGTATCTGGTTTAAAAAGGGAAAGGACCTCATTAGAAGAACCAGCTCAAATAAGACAACATTCTATACAACAGCTGATGAGAATTTCTATTCTATGCAAGAAAAGATAAGAATATAAATGAGTTATACATGCATTTATAAAATTTTTCATGTAAATGAGTCATAGTCATAAGGCGACTATGTCATTTTTGCCTGTGTGGTCTTTAAAGCAATTACAGTCTTAACTAAACTCTTATTTATTTACTTATTCTTTCAGCAACTCTCTATCCTTAAACAGAATCAAGCTTTATAAACTACAATTACATAAAAAAAATTGAAAAGCATATTTCTAACTGAAACATTTCTTCATTATGATTCAATTTGCAATCTTAACAAATACATTTTATGTAACTCAAATTGAAGTTCTCAATTTGTTGTAGTTGGAGTTTATTTATTATTATTCAATTTATGTCAATTATAATTACTTAAGTAAGACCTTAACTGGTCTTGGCAATGTCTTTGAGTCTTTGATTAACAAATTTCTAACATCACATCTTGAGTTTAATAACTTACTGTCTGACGACCAATATATTCAATCTTCTCATTTTCTAATTTTTCTTTTTCTCATCTTCTAATTTTTCTTTTTCTCATCTCATTTTTCAGCTGACTTGCTAACTGATATGAATGAAAGATTCTTAGTATAGTTAAGTTAAAATTAACATATGTGGAGAAAAAACTGTATTTTATTGAATGGTGGCAGCAAGGCAAGTGCTATTGGCATATCTAAAGCTTTTAATAAAGTTTGGCATGCATGTCTTTTTCATGGCCTACTTAAAATACACCGCCTTACATCCTGCATTTTCGCCAAAAAAATAGAAGGCTATTTATCTGCTAATATTTACATTCACAAAAACATCCGAATTGAATTTAAAAATCAAGCTTTAATAATATTTCTTGTTTATAATTGCAGTTCTTTAATTCGCAATCTCGATATAAATAAGAAGTACTACTTCTGATATATAAATAATGATGATGATTTCTATTTTGTACTTATAAATACAAAAACATATACAAGGAAAGAAAATATAAACTTTATTAAGACAAATTTTTTAAATTATTTTCTAACTGTTAGATTTCAATAGATCATTCAATATATATTTAATTTCTACATCATAATTGTTGGATAGTCAAAATCACTTAGAAAATTGGAATTTGAACCAAATAAATTACATGTGAAGCATATCAAATTTTCTTTTACTTATACATTATTAAGAATTATACATATTAAGAACAAGTTTGACAGCTTTTCTGTCTTGCAGTTTCAAACTATTTATAATATCAAAAACACATTCAATATATGCAAAACCATCACAAACGTAATCAATAAGATATGATGATGGTACTATAAACCTTCCTTTTGATAAAATATTCAAATAATGTGTATCTTGTGAATCTATTGTAGGATTATTGCAAACACAAAATTTTTTGCAACATTCTCCAAACTTTTTTATCAACTTTTTTGCAATATTCCCAGCAATATACACTACAACTTCACGAGATTCATTAGTGAGTATAATTTTTTCAAAGTTAATATCTTCTATTTTATTTAAAAATTCATCTAAATGTTTTGTCTCATCAGCTTTGATATCGTTTTCTATAATATTGATTTATTCTTTTACCAAATTTCAAATTTTTATTATTCTTTCACTATATAAAACATCCTTCAAGCTTACTAGAAACCGGCCACCACTTATTTGACGATATTGGCCAAAACGCCTTTCAATTGGGTCATTTTAGAAACAACCAGTCAAAATAAAGTCAAAGTCATCATTTAAAAGGTCTTCTATTAGAGATGCTTGGCATAAAAGTGTCCTTTGTAAAGCTGAAGATGTTTGAGCTGATAAGGTAAAGTTTTTACAATAAGAAATTTTTGAACTTTCCTTAAAGTTAAAAGCCACTGTGCCATTGCACACAAAAATTCAGGTTTTTTATCACCTTAAATCGCTGCTCTTCCAAGTCTATTACTAAAACAAAATTGGTCTTTTGAGTTGGAGATTGTCCCCTACACGTTGAAAAGATGCAGGGAACTGGAAGCATTATTGGAAGTTGAAAAATAAGATTTTATAGCAGCTATAGTAGTTTCATGGAAAATGTCAAGTGCTACCTGAACATTCTGTTTGAATTTACCTGGGTGTAAAACTTTATTGCAAATTCTATGAGCTTTTCTTAAATTTGCATCCAGGTTTCATCCTTTTCATAAACATCGTGCAACAGTTTCCGGGAGATTTCACCAGACTTGAAAGAAATATCATCAAAAAAATAACAAAAATTCAATTCAGGAAAAATAAATCTTTTTCTATTTAACAAATTATTTCTAACATTTTTTATCAGGTGTATGACATCAAAAAATAAGAAAATTTTTTTGATTGAAAATTTATAAACAATCTTTGAACATCTTGATCATGTAACTTCAATAACTTTGAGTAGGTCGAAATATTAGTAGCATATTTGTCACACACAATACCTCTGACAAAACCACTCTTGGTTAAAATACCTAAGCAGCTCAAAATTCGATTTTGGCAACTGGCCAAGCTTTAATAATGCAGGGTATATTTTCTTTTAACCCAATTATCATAAAACATACAATACTTCTAAAAAGTTCATTTTTATCATCGATACCAATAAATTCTCCTCCACAATACTCTACACACTTTTGCAAATACATTTCATCAAATAAAACAATATCCTTTGATAAAGAATTGTTATCTATCAATAATTTTGCAACTTTCAATGAATCAATTTTACCTTCTTTTATCTTGTTTAAAAGGGAAAGTGAAGGTAAGAAGTTCAAGAAGTTTATATGATTGAAGTGAAGTATATTGTAGGAGTAAAGCATATTGGATAATATCAGCTGAATAGACTTGAATTTTTTAAAATTGATGTTTTTTAAGTTCATCTAAAAAACAAATATTTTCTGCCTGTCCTTTAAGATATGAAGGAAAGTTTTCAAGCATACTTTTCTTACTAAGTTTACAATTGTTCCCATGCCTGAACCAATGTGGCAAAGATACAGAAAAACATTTAAGAAATAATTTCACGTGCAAGTCTTTATCAATTTTGTTACATTACATAACTTCTGGCACACACTCATCGTTCAATTCAAGTTTATAAAAAACAACATAATCTACATATTTTGAAAAGGTATATCCCGGTGGGCTGTCCACTTCATTGATTGATTCTAAATCAAGTATAGAATCATTTGTTAAAAATGATTTGTACTCATCTTCTTGAAAAACTCTTTTTTTTAGTAATTAAGAAAAATACCCTTTTTCTTGGTAGAGAAACTGTAGGTAATAAAGATGGTGTTTCTATACAATCTAGATAAATAGTAGGGACTGGTTTTAAGGCTTTAATCAATCAGAATCTTTTATCTTATTTACCCTTCTTTATAAGTTTATTGTCAAAAATTTTAAACACAGACTACTGATGAGAAAGTTGGTCGCCAGTTTTTTCTGTTCACAAATCAAATCCATCTATTTTTTATATCTTAGTTTGAAGGAAAAGAAAATACAGGAATCATTGGTAATATGCTAAATTTGACATCAAAATATCTATTTTGATATCAGATGAATTTACAGCAATTGAATTTAATTATTTCACATGCATCAATCTGTTAAAAAGTGTAGAAAATTGGTTAAAATTAAGTTAAATTTTTCTTTTTTTAAATCTAAAATTACTACTAACTTACCTTTTGTTCCCCATTTAAATATCTTCCTTGATACAAGTGTCAAGTAGATTAGCAGCCATATAAAACAAAAAATTTCAACTATAGATGACAGCATTGGGCTATCTGCTTCCATTATTTTAATTGCATCAGGTATTGGTGAACTTTATCCCAAAAAATATCTAATAACAAATTGTTTTTAATCGTTTTTAATCGAAAATCCTGTTTGAGCAGGATTTTCTACTTTTAGAAGTTGGTTCGGAATGTTTTAATGCATCTGAATTTAAGGCTGGAGCGATATTTTTGGCACTTTTAAAGTTATTATTAGAAATAAGATTTTTAAATTGACATGTTATTTTTCTTTGTATTATATCTTTTACGGGATGTTTTTGCACTATTATCTCATCATTTAGAACTTTGTGTTTCACTTCAGCTGGACATTTTTTACATTTCTTAATATGCATCGCCATTCTTGTTCCACTTTTTGACATGTCATCGCAAAAAGGACATTAAACTCTATCCATTTTGCTCACCTGGCTAGCTGGCTTAAATAAAGTGCTCACAGTTGTTTTTGTTCTACCACCAGTATGGCAACATACTACCTTTTTACTATTAATGCTCATATTTTTTAAATATTAGGCCTAGTAACTAGAAATCTGCCTAATTAATGATTAGAACCTTAATATTGTAAAATATAATTAATAATTTAGTTATTAATGAAATACAATTATAAAAGTTAACTTAAATTTGTTGTTGATATAATTAATTGTAAACTGGTAAATTATTTTATAGTTTACAAATAAAATTTAATTAATAGTACAGATAATTAAAAAAAAAGAAGATACCAAATAAAGTTTGATGAACAAAAAACTACTATTAAAACTGTGCCTTAGTATCATTGAAAATTAAAATACTTTACATTTTGCAATGCAGTGGTATTTCATTCATAAGATTATAATATTTTTTTAACATAAAAATAAATGGCAACCCTCTCACTGAATTCTCTTTTTATGTCTTCTTGGATTATTGTTTACTACTAACCTCTCATGGAAACCATATATACCATCAATTGCTAAATTAAAATCTGCTAAGGTTGCTTCTCTTTATCCTGGTCACCATTATCTTACTTCTAATTCCACTCTCTACCTCAGCAAATTTCTTATTTGTCCCTAAATGATATTCTCATGTCATATTTGGGCTGGTTCTTGTAATGATGCTCTTTCTCTTTTAGACAAAGTCCAAAAATGCATTGTAAACATAGTTGGACCTGTTTTATCTGTCTAGTTTGAGCCTCTCTCCTATTGTCTCAGGTTGTGCCTCTTTCTCTATTCTACAAATCAAGATTACTGCTAAAAAAAAATATCATCTCTAGTTCCATCAACCATTCTCGCTTCTCATTCAGCAAATTCACATCTTTTTACTGTATCTGTCACTGCATGCTCTAATAATTTTTTTCCCTGCTCTGCAATCCTCTGGAACTCTCTGCCGTCTTCATGTTTTCCTGACTCATACAACCTTTAACTTTTTGAATATTCTGTTAATTGTTTCCTTGCTCTATAAATCTATTCTTTTTTTCTAGTAACTACAAACTTACTAGTGGTTGGTTGCAGCATTGTTGGGAGTGAATTTTAATAAACAAAAAAAAAAACTTTTTCTCTCTTAATATTTACTTAAACAGTACAGTAAAAAATAAAAAATGCAAAGTCTTTTTATCCCAAAATAATTTTCGTCATGTCAAATGGTTCAATGATAAATGTGTCAATAATAATCAGCAGTAACAAAAACTAGTCAGGTAAAAGGCTTATTATTGATATGCTTAATGATAAAATGCTTTCACAAGCAGTCACATTTTCAACTTTCATAAATGCTGATACCTCATCTAATAACACCCTAGATTATGTAACACCTCAATCTTCAGAGAAAATTAGTGATAATACCAGCCTTTCTCCACTTGATTCAAAAAAGCAAGGAAATAAAACTATTTTGTGGAACTACTATCTAGTAAATGATAGATTATGCGTAATATCCAATCATAAGTATAACTGATTGATGAAAATATAACCATAGGTCTGATTCCATCCAAACTGTATATTGGAAAGATTTATTTTCCTATAGTCAATCAATAAATGTTATTCTTAGACCAATGTTTTTATGGTATTTAAAAAGTAAAAAATCACATCAAATATTACAAAACAAAGTATTACAATATATATAGGTAATGTTAGGTTCAGGATCATCACGCTTATCCTGCTACTGGTATTATGTAACCCAGTACCACCTGCCTTATGCCCTGATGCCTTGTAGAGTGTTTTTTTTCAGGCAAAGGCTAGGAGAAACTAACTCCAACTTAAAAATCCCCTACCTTGGGGCTCTTGGTTGAGTAAAGACTGTAGATGGTGTCTCGATAAAAATACTCATCTTGAGCAGATGTTAACTGCATTCAGCTACTGTCTAGTAGAAGGCCTCCTTGGCAAAGACCTTAGGGGTAAGCAGAATAGTTCTGCTAACCAGGCTATTCCTTCTTCTAATCTCAATGTTGATGGGTACTAAGCTTTGATTCTCAAAGACTCCAATAGTCACATGCTTGGCTTGGGGTATACATACGCATCCATTCACCTATTTGTTGTGAGATCAGGTTCGAATCCTTTGACCATTCTTTCATGTGCTTCCGCTTAGCATCTCTTCACCCTATCATGTTTCTCTTTGTTCTTTATTGTTCTTTTTTTTCCCAAGACTGCATTCTTTTAGATAATTTCTGATAAAATTAACCATGCTCTCTTTCTTTACCCCTCTGCCAATATTGTTGTATTGGCGACTTTAATGCTCATGGCACTGACTTTTTGATTGCTTAGAACAAGCAGGCAATCTTGAATCTGATCTCACTTCTGTAACTGATAGTGGCTCACAGTAGCTTTTAAATTTTAACTCCAACAAAACTCAGATATTTACTGCAAACAACTATCGCAGTACTGTTGACATTCTTATATTGATGAGTGGCAACCCTCTCACTAAGTCCTCGTCTTTATGTTTTATGGATTATCATTTACTACTGACTTTTCATGGAAACCATATATACTATCAATTGCTGAATTAGCATCTGCTAAAGTTGTTTCTCTTTATCGGGCTCGCCATTTTCTCTCTCCTGATTCTATTCTCTACTTCTACAAATCTCTTATTCTTCCCTGTATGGAATACTGTTGTCATATTTGGCCTGGTTTTTCTAATGATGCTTTTTCTCTTCTAGACAAGATCTAAAATTGCATTTTAATTGGATATGCTAAGCCTGAGTCTCTTTCCAATTGTTGTAAAGTTGCATCTCTTTCTCTTTTCTACAAATACTATCATGGCCACTGCTTAAAGGAGCTTTTATCTCTAGTTACATCAACCAAAACTCATTCTCACCTGACTCGCCAGGCAAAAATTAGCCAGGTAAAAAGTTTATATGCCTAATCATAAAGTGCTTTTTCAAGCAGTGACTTTTTCAACTTTTATAAATACTGATACCTCATCTAATAACACCCTAGATTATGTAATACCTCAATCTTCAGAAAAAATCAATCTTCCAACTTAATAGTGGTTGCTTGCAGCCTTGTTGGGAGTGAATTAGAATAAAAAAATAAAAATTAAAAAATAAATTACAGTCTTTAAATTACATCAATGCTGTTCTCTCATAGCCTTTGACAAAGGCTTTTACAAAAGACCTTTAAATAACGTATTCAAAAATGGTTTTCAAGGCAAAATTCATGTATGGCTAAACTGCTTATCTAACCAAACATAATGTGAATTTCTTGTTAAATCTTTTTTTGGATAGGCATTTTAGAATGTTAACAATGGATAATACTCTGTTGCTAAACCAAAATAAAGATAATATAGAGATAAAATATAGGCAAAATAAAGATAAAAATAGAAAAGCAAAATGAAAGCGTTTCTGTTAAATATCATTAATAATATCTATTTAGCTAACATCATTTTTGCTTTTTTTTTTTTATATAAAAAGTTTTTTTTCTTTTAGTTGTACAGACATTCATTTTATGCAGATTATTATGTTAAAGACCTTGAAAGCAGGTTTGTATTTTAATTTCTGAAAATCTTTTCTTATTTTATTGAGTTATAGTTCTTTTTTGAAATATTTTTATGCATTACATTTAAATATAATGATAAAGACTTGAATCGTTTATTTGAAAAAGATTAGCAAAAAATAATAATACATAAGCCTGTAAACTCTCAATTTTCTGCTTCATCTAAGTTTTCCATTGCTATATCCAAACCACCATGTTTTTTTTTCCTTCAACCCTTCTATATTTTAATAAAGTTTTTTAATGTTTATGCTAACATTGATTAACTGGAATTTTAATTAAGTTTTTATTAACAAACTTATAAATGCATTGTTGCTGCAAAAAATAATCTGACAGAAAAAAATTTTTTAAATCAATCTTTTATGCAAAATTTTTGTGTACAAAATTTTTTTATTTATTAGTGTATTATATAAAAGCCTTTGGTTATTTGAACCAAACTTTTATTAAAATAACACAATTTCTTCAAACAATAGTTGAGCCATTTATTTTGAAAGTGGCATGTCACCTTTTCAAAAAAATCAAATTATTATAGTTATTATTTATTATAATGGCTACACAAAATTATTTATACTAATACAAATTTAAGTATCCTGAGACAACAAATACATGTAAATCTTCTTAAATAATCATTTTCAAAATAAACAGCTCAATTTTTTTATTTACTTGACTAGATTTTTTATTTACTAGTCAAAAAAGAAAAATTTTAATAGCAGACCAAAAAGGAGATGAGTTTCCTTCGTACCGAGGTACTACTCATACAGTAAGTAAGCAGAGCCGAGATTTGAACCTGCAATCCTGCTACTACTGCTAATGAAAATTTAGAACATTAGCAGCACTTTAATCACAGCACAAAAAAAGTATTAATCACCTAAAATGTCTTTTTCCAATTGATTGTTTTTAAATATGGAAGATATACATCATGAAAAAACAGATATGTAAATGCTAACATATTAAGATGGAATTAGGTTATATGTTGAAGTTATAGCTTCATAATTTCCTAATAAAATTTCTTGTACTTTATTACAAATGTGATTACAAAATATATTATAATCTTTATAATTTATTTTGTAATCACATTTGTAATAGTTATAATAATTTGTAATATATTAGTATATATAATAGTATTATATAAATAAGTAGAAAATACAAAATACAAAATAATAGTATAATAATTTAAAGGGGCAATTACAATATTTATAATAGCAGTCTGTAATAATGTTTACCGAAAAAAGAATCAAGTAAATAATTTTTTTGGTATTATATTTTAAATTGATATCAAATATTAATTGATTTTATTATTTTTAAATACTATTTTGCAACAAAGTGTGTGTATATATTTGAATGTCTATAGTTTTAAATTTTTTAAAATGCTATTTTTATTATATATAAAGCGAAATCATAAAGATAAACCCTCCAAATAGCAAAAAAGATACTCAAATACGATATTGCGGTTGGTCTACCAAAGGCAATGCACTGGTACAAATTTTTTTTTTATGTTATAAATTAATTTATGTTTATTTTCTATTTATCAAATTTAGGTTGTTATAATTTAAATAATGTAACAGTGAAAAAAAAAAACATTGAATAATATAACAAAAAAATACGACAGTGAAAATATACAATGATTACATCAAATGTAGTTTACATAATTGATAATTCCTTTTAAATGTAGTTTACAGACCTAATAGTTTTTATTAGTTTTAAATGCAATTTTATTAGTTTTAAATGCAATTTTATTAGTTTTAAATGCAATTTGCAGAATTCCTTTTGAGAGGGTTTAATTATGTTATTTATATTATGGAGTTTCAGTATGTAATATCACTGTAGACTTTTGAGACATGGAATCTTACTGTTTAACTATGGTCTCAAGTAATTTTTAAAGACTTTTTAGTTTTTTTTTTTACATTTATTTACGTTTTTTAAGAAAATGCCAATATTTTTATTTTCTATTCTTCATATTTTGAAAAAATGAATTTTAAAAGCGTTTTTTATATATTAATATATAATTAATATATATTAATATTAAACAAAATTTTTTTTTTTTTTTATTTTTGTTTAATATTAATATATCGGAACTTTTTGTAAAGACTAAAAAGTAGAAAATAAAATATAGCAAAAATATTTGCTCAAAAGTATAAAAAGTAGAAAATAAACTTTTTAAATTTAAATTTATTAGTTTAGTAAACTAAAGATTAACAGGTATGTTTCTATATAAACCTTGCGCAGATCTGCCAATCTTTAGTTGACTGAACTATTAAATTTAAATTAAAAAGTTTATTTTCTACTTTTTAGGATAAAAAAGATTAAATTTTTTAGCAAATGTTTTTGCTATATTTTTTATTTTACAAAAGTATTTTGTATTATATAACCAAATAAAAGTATACTTAACAAAATTTGTTTTTTAAATTTTAGTTTTTTTATTTTCAAATATTCACAAAATTCATATTTTTCATTTGTTTTCAATTTTATTTAAATTTGTTTAGTAAAATTTTTTTTTTTTTTTTTATCTTCTTGAAGTTTTGTAATTCAAGTGAGAAAAATGTAATGGCGGTTTAAAATTACTAAAAGAATAATGTTTATAATATTCTATAAACTTGCATTTTTGCTAGTATTTTAATTTTGAGTGTACTTCTACAACTTCAGATATTCCAAAGGTACCTTTATCTCCACCATTTAAGTTTGTGTAAATTCTATGTTTATCAGGAAACCTGTCTTTTATCTCTTTTATGTTATGTTTTATCAGGAAACCTGTCTTTTATAAAACAATACATGACTGTAAAACCTTACTATTCCACTTTCCAATAAGTAATACAATAAAGGCGGATAAAAATTTAATAACAATAAAGAAGAAGTTTACATATTTTTAAGTATAAAAAAGCTCTATGAGTCAGCAATTTTATTTAATTAGTAAAATGCCAGATTTTTAACAAGTTGGAAAAACATTTTTTAAATATTTCTTAAGGGTTTTTTTGAATAAATTTGGCATCCATGCACCTTCCCTGTTTTAACTCTTATTAACAGGGGGGTACCATCATTGATGTCCAGCGACATGAGACAACTCGTTTCCTCAAAGGGTGACTAAAATTTTGAACAACAATCTTTCTTGGCAGCCCAGCGGGATGACAAAACAGTTGGTTACTTTAAAAAGAGTGTTTATTAATAAATCCATCTTTTAAAATTTTGTTCTTTAAGATTATTTAAAAGAAACCTTTAAAAAAGTACCCTAGGTTTAAAGATAAATACACTATGGTGCAATATATAATTTTACAAAACATTATAAAAAGAAGCCGACTTGAATTAAATTAGACATCAACACAATTTAAAATAGTTCAAAGTGTAACAATATTCTTTTTTTAAAACGTTTTTAAAATTACCGGACTACTGATTTTCATATCAAGCCACTCAAGTAAGACAAAAAATATATTTCAGTCACACGCAGGGCAACTGTTAAAAAAAATGGAGGGTTTTATTAAAATCATTTTATTAACCCTGATTAACACCATGTGCATTTATTTTTACTTTTTTTTAAATAATATTATAATACCTATAATACTTTATAATACCTCTACGTAATATTTGATTATTCAAAATTATTTTATGTAATAATACTTTTTCAACCTCCCTTAGGTCTTCGGTCTTTTTTCTGTTCTGCTGCTTTGTTAGACTCATTTTTTATAGGCAATGGAAAGTTAAATCTGGAATATACCTTGTGGCATAGATCTTTTTGTCTTTTTTAAAAGCCTCAAATCATCTGATGAACAGCTTTTT